AGCTCAAAAAAGGGGCGTCGTATTATACATGAGATCGTATTATACATGAGGTCGTATTATACATGAGATCGTATTATACATGAGGTAGTATTATACATGAGATCGTATTATACATGAATAAATACGGTAGCTCTTTCTGCACATGTGGATAGGAGCAACATCGTGCCACTCCCTTCTTCAAACAACCACATCCCATTTTGGATGAAAACAGCTGGTGACTAAATGAAAATACTATCAGGGTTGCACTGAACTTTTGCCGAAACATCAAGAAAAAAAAGCCCAAAATAAAGATTTCATCAACTACTGGTTAACTTAGTATGTGGGATGCTAGTCAGTTTATTGTATTATATAGCAAAAATATTTTAATTACTTCAACACATGACAAACAACCAAAAACCCTAGACTACTTGGAATAATTAGGAAAAGACTGAGAAATGTATTTCCCCAAGGATTCACCTTTATGTCTGCAGATGACTCATCAGACCACTAGAAAGTGTCATTCCTCCAGTTTGATGATTTTCTCTCAGCAACATTTGGGCTCAAGAGTCTTTGCAGCTTTTATATTATGAGTCAAAAGCTGAACATGTTTGACTGCTGATTCAGTGCTTTCAAACTGGCCTGCTTCCCTGCAAAAAACACAATGAAATTGAAAAAAGCTCAAATAAATCATTTTATCAAAGCAGCCCTTCTGTGAAAAGTAATTGATGGAAATCTACATCAGACTGATTGTTTTTACTCTTTCAGAATCGCAGGGCGGTCCAGATGAATATGGTGTACATTGCTGACCAGCGTGTCATGATGAAATTCCTCTTTCCTCTGAATGAAATTGTTGTGGATTTCTATGATGCCCTCAAATCTATGTCATCTGGATATGCCAGGTAAAGTTCAGACAGTTCAGTGTGCAAGACATTGTCAAGGTTCACTTTGTTCTCTGTGCTTATTTAAGATGTGACGACATGTCTGGGACATTTGTTGCATAATTAATGCACAAATACGACTTCAGATTTTTATACAATCCCTAAAAAATAGATTACCTGAAGCCAATGAAACTAAAATATACAGGCCAAAATTTTGTGATATTTATTGAGGACAATTGTCTAATATTACACATCTGTGGAATAAAACAATTTTTTTATTCTGATAATATTTTTGAACCCCTGTGATGCAAATAAACATCTGCAATCATTGATCAGTGATAAATATCAGCTTAGGAGCCGGTTTAAACTAAATCCTCATTTCAGATCTGGGACCGTTGAGGGTTTCAGACTCTGTCATTGTTTGATTTATTTAAAAGCATCTGGCTGTGATTTTACTTTAAAATCAATCAGTCCTTAAGGTTCACGTGTCTATACAGCTCACTAATCTGTATTATGAGATTATTTTACTTTTTAGCATTTTTTATACATATTTTTTAAATATTTATTGTTTAATAGGGTTTAGGAATTATAATAATTTATCAGTTACATTGTAAAAAATGTGTCCTGATGCATCTCGATAATCCAGAGAGAAAAATCCCAAAAAAAGTTTAGTGAACTGATAGAGAGGAACGTTGGTTTGAGAGGAGTAAAATAAGCCATTTTTGTAAAGAAAAAACATCCGTCAGGGTTAGGGATGGGTACCTTTGACATTTGAATCGATCCGATACTAATATTCGGTACCTGAGAATCAGTACCAGTACTTATCGGTACCAATTTTCGGTACTTTGAGAGGATGCAGTTAAAATTAATAAAAGGTATTCAAGCTACATTTTGAGCATCCAAAATAGCATCGATAAAATCGATAAAAATCGATTATTAAAAGCTTTGTCAACGAGTTTCATTATCGATTCGTTGTGTCACAGGATTTATACGTCCCTCGCCGTGTCGATTACGTCACCCGTAGAGCGCTGTCAATGACCGCAGTTAGTTACCAAGAAAGAAAAAACTCTACCTATAAAGAGCCACCCTCTCGGACTCTCGAGTGAAAAGCAGAGACTACGAACTTTAAACCAGTTTTTAAATCATGTTGTTAGGCCAAGTAGATCTGAAGATATGATAAAAAGTTCATGCTAAATTTATTCTTTTTAAAAGACGTCTGATTTGATGCGCGCTGCGTTGTGGGGGAGGAGGGACACCTTAAATCCACCGTTTCGTCCTCCTCTGGGGCCAAAAGTATAAAAACTCTCCAGTTTTTTCTGACTGAGGCTCAAAGTTATTTGTTGAGCAACAAAACGGTTCAGGACGGGGGGCTGCTTCAGAACCGGTTACTGGGTCAGAACAATATTTTAGTCAAACAGAACCAACAAGACTGAAACAAAAAGTAAAGAATTAGGGAAAAAAATAAATGTTAAATATAAATAAATTCTATTTATAATAAATTGATATTAGTTTTACATCTAAAAATCATATTTTATTATTTTAATCTATTTTCCTCATTCAGCAACCTATTAAATTTCTGTTATGTTTCATGAAGGAGAAATACACATTTTTTTCAGTCAGTATTTAATACAGCTGGCAAAATAAATTGTTAAAATATGTATTATGTGCTTCTGTTTTTTAAATTCAGGAGGTTATAAAAAAATCCTTCATTTTATGGGAAGACCCTCTTGATTCAAGAGAAAACTGTTTTTTTAAATGGCTTCTTATTAATTAACTGTTAATCAATCTATAAGATAAATCAACTTCAGATTAATTCATCATCAATAACTTGCATCCTTAAGGAGTTAAGTTAATTTATATCTACTCATATTCATGTAATTAAGCATTTTAATGATTTGCCCGATTAATCGATTAATCAAAAAAATAATCAAACGATTAATCGATTATTAAAATAATCATTAGTTGCAGCCCTAATCCAAAATGCTCCCAACACTTCAAGTTGGCTGCTTGTGCTCTTTCAGGTCAGACGCGTTCGAACTGTTGGGAAGCTCCTCTGTAGTTTTCCTCTGCCAGTCTCTGTTTAATGGTGGACGAAATAAAGAAAGTGGCGGTACTTTATTTACTTTGAGCACGCGAACGTCATTCTCACAAGATAATTAATCCAGCAGATAATTGTGGGTGCTCTGTTTGGTGAGTTTCACTCCAAGAGCTGCGAGGCTTTCAAGCTACGTTCAGACCGAGGTCTGGACGTCATTATGCTACGTTTACACCAAACGCGTTGCGTGCCTCCAAAAATCTCAAAACGCACACATTTTGATGCTGGTGTCCATTGAGGACAGACACATTTGATGTGAACATAGGAGGAGCCTTTTTAACCGTATTTTCGATAACGTACCAAACATGCCGACTTCCTCACTAATCGTCCTCCAGGTAAAGTTCTTTTTATTTCTATCACGATAATGAACACTGGAATGATCATAAATGATCGGACTATCAGTTTTTCCTCCATTGTTTGTGTGATCCGATTTCCTGGGCTTCCGGTATTTCCGGCTCGTCACCAGTGTGTCACTGAGCAGAGTCTCTCTGGTTGATGCGACGCGTCAAGCAACAAAAGTTTAGATTTTCCAACTCATGCATTGGGACGCTTTGTACGTGCCGCACCCACGGAAAGTGCTCATGACGTGTGCACTGCTTCGAACCACGCTGCTCGAAATGCGCCAGATGCGCTGCTCGGTTTCTAGACGCCCCTAGATGCACGTCCACCATTGACTTTGCCTGTAAACCAGATGCTCCTGATACTCAAAACGCGTTTGGTGTAAATGTAGCATTACGCTCTTGCGCGATACTGCGTTCAGGACAAGCATGGAAAGTCTCCCACTCTTAAAGCCAATACGGCCACAATAATGAGTTTAGGTACCGAAACATGGTACCGTTTGATGTTACGTGAATAGGTTCTCTGTAGTACCAACAGAATTTGGTCGGTACTTAAAAAAGTATCAAATTCGGTACCCATCCCTAGGTAAGGTGGAGGTCTCCATGTCCACTTTGTCCCACTCTTACAGTGCTGTTATTGCAAGTATGACTCAGCCCTCTGGTAACAATAGGGATATTGTAATACGATCTATTGTTAGGCTGAGGATCCTCTTTTGCATGTGACTAACCTGTTTGTCCACCTTGTGGAGGCAAGTGCTTATAAGGCTGAGTTCACCTGAAACTCATCAGACTGAAGAAGTCTCTCAGAGAGACGAAACGTTTCATTAAAGAAGACTGTCCAGAACACCTGCTACACTTTTTTATGTTGTAAAAAAGCATTTATATATTTACATTTGCATTACAATGCAAATGTTTTATTTCATATTTTTTCTTTTTATACTTAGTAAGTTAAGCGTTTTATGTGCCTCTCATAATAGACAGGCAGTACTGTCATATTTAACTAAGTCTAAAAGCATTTGACAAGTTCAGCCACTCGTTTCATTAAGGTGTTCTTCCACAGCTTTGATTATGAGGACGCAGGCTACCAGACTGCTGATTTGATAAAGATGGATATTCTGCTGAATGGGCAACCAGTGGAAGAACTCGCCACAATCGTACACAGGTACATTTAAGATTTATGTGAACACTTTTCATTTTTGTTTATTCTTCTTTCTTCTTTTTAGTTTATTTTTTAAATTTATTCTGATTACTTTTAGTTTTTAGTGTGATTTGTTACCATATTTCTTATTATTTTCTTCAGGGTTTTTTTAAAAGTGTATTTCATTTGGTTGTCTTTTGGCATTCATGGTGGACGGCAAAGTATAGAACCTCATTGCTCACTTATGGCCCATATGTAAACCATGTATCCCTACTCACCATAAACCATGAGTGAAACTCAGAGAGAAAATGAATTTATTCAGTTGAAATGATATAAAATACTAAAGATAAAGCAATGAAATATTATTCCAGTACTGACAAGGATTCTCAAAGACCTATTAGCTGAATATCTGACATATAGTCAATGAACAGCTGAAGGATGATGCATCTTTCTGGTCATTTATCTAGTCTTCAATGGATTTTATTTCTCTTTTCAAAATCTTTGACTTTCAGATGCTGGTAATTTGCTGTAGATATTTATCTTTTATCTTTCAGTTGTCCACATTCCTTATTTTTAAGCAGACATTACACATTTTGCTGTCACAGTTCAGGAACTGGACTGAAAGAGCAGTCAAAGGCCAAAGAAGACCTTCAGAAACTGTAGAACTATTGATCAAGACCACTTTGGGATTAGAAGAAAGTTTTGCTACTTTAAAGTAGAATATCAATAAATAAGAGTGGTTGAAAACTTTTGCACACTGTCATATATAGTTTTGCATCTTGTCCAGATTTTTTGGTTTTTACACTTTTTTAATGTATAAAGTCATAGAGTTGATTTATAACAAATCAGAGAGTAAATCATTTACTTTATTTTAATGAAATGTGAGATTGATTTTATGGACTTTTTTTGCCTCCTTGCCAACATAAAGCACACGTTTGACCTTCGTTCAGTCAGTAGTTGTTTATTTTTTATTTGTGGTTTTATTACAGAGACTGTGCGTACAGTATAGGGAAATCCATGTGTGAGCGACTGAAGGATTCCATTCCGAGGAAACTGTTTGAAATTGCCATACAAGCAGCCATTGGAAGTAAAGTCATCGTGAGGGAAACGTAAGTACAAGATTTGCACTAAGCTACTGAATGTGTTTGAGAAATATGAAAAGAAGAAAAAAAAAAGATTAAACCCAAGCAGATGCAAACATATCTGAATAAAGTACAATAATGATGTATGTGCCTCTTTCAGAATAAAGGCAGCCAAGAAGGATGTTTTAGCAAAATGTGTAAGTATTATTTTTCCTTTAGAAAGAGGTGTAAAATGTATAAATTGTGTCTAATGTTCCCTTTCTCCTGTTAGTACGGTGGTGACATAACACGGAAAAAGAAGCTCCTGAGGAGACAGGCTGAGGGTAAAAAGAAGATGAGGCTCGTTGGCAACGTAGAAGTACCTAAAGATGCTTTCATTAATGTTCTAAAAAGGAAAGAAAAATAGAAACTGATTCTATTTATGACATTATTACTTAATATTATATATGTGAACCAGTCATTATTAAAAGCACTACTAAAATGTATTCAGAATAAAATGCAAGAAATCCTTTTACAGTTTTCTATCAAATGTCTGGGGCCTTCTTTTTGATATGAAACCGGTACAATATTTTTTTCCATCATTAACACTTTATCTGACTCAGTTTAGTAGAAAATAGGACAAGCAGAACATACATAAAACAATACATCAGAGGCATGTTATGAATTCATTTCAGGTCAGTTCAGTAATACTTTATGAATCCCAAAGGGAAATTAAATGTTGTAACTCATATTATCCTGGTTTTTTTAAAGGGATCCATGATTAGTTGTAACATTAGACTTTATTTGATAAACATCTTTTCATCGACCACAGGATGTGTCTTTCATCATGATTATTTAAGAAATGAGAAGCAACTCATTGCACCAGTTGGGGTTAAAAAACTCGCTACCAGCTGAAAGTTAATCAGCCATGCAATAATTATCCAATAAGAGACTCATAACTATTTGCTTAGTTAACCCTTTCGTGCATAGAGGTCACTACAGTGTACAGCTGTTTAAAGGTGGTTTATATATATAGATGATTTACCGGTCGATCTACATTCCTACCCTCATCTATGGTCATGAGCTTTGGGTCATGACCGAAAGAACGAGGTCCCGGATACAAGCGGCCGAAATGGGTTTCCTCCGCAGGGTTGCTGGGCTCTCCCTTAGGGATAGGGTGAGAAGCTCAGTCATCCGGGAGGGACTCAGAGTAGAYCCGCTGCTCCTCCACGTCGAGAGGAGCCAGTTGAGGTGGCTCGGGCATCTGGTTAGGATGCCTCCTGGACGCCTCCCTGGTGAGGTATTCCGGGCACGTCCCACCGGGAGGAGGCCCCGAGGAAGATCCAGGACACGCTGGAGGGACTATGTCTCTCGGCTGGCCTGGGAACGCCTTGGAGTTCCCCCAGAGCAGCTGGAAGAAGTGGCTGGGGAGAGGGAGGTCTGGGCCTCCCTTCTGAAGCTGCTGCCCCCGTGACCCGACCCCGGATAGGCGGAAGAAAATGGATGGATGGATGGACAATATCAGGAAAACCTGTGATGTGCAATAACAGTGCTTATTACTGCGATAATATAGGCTAATTTACAATAAATGAACACATACTGGAGTGCTGGAAAGTGAGGAAAATCATCTTGCATTTTAGATTACTACGGAGCACACAGGATTAAACATGATTGTTTACAATAGGATATTTGGATTATTGTGGTGAAGATGTAAAACATGCTGCCTAAAATGCAGAACAGACTCATTCAGTAAAATGAAAATAAGGTTCTTTAGAAATATTACAGGGAGCTCAAACTCTTAAAATACTCAAACTTTATTACAATCATTAAAACAAACCCGCTTGTTTTAAAAAATATGATTTTTTGTTTGTTTGTTTTGCGTTTTGTTTTTGTTTTGATCGCTGATCCAGTCCACACTCCACATCTCTAGGTGGCGGTAATGAACCTTATCATTGTTTGCCAGCCGCCACAAAGAAACCAAGAAGAAAACTAATCCCAGGGAAAAGCGCATTGGGACTTTTTGGTTCTCTGCGCTTCCCGTAGTTTTCTGTCATTAATGCGGAAGTTGCTATGAATGACTACGGCGCTAACTAGAATTACTGTTTGTATTATAAATTACGGACTTAATACGGACTTAACCGTGGATTTATAACAAACGGAGACATTAGTTTTGCTGTACGTTATTCATCGGTGTGTTCATGTGAAGTTTGGCAGCTTTCCGGTCTTTTTTTGGTAAACTCTAGGAAGCATGTTTTACTTGTTGTTTTAGATGAAGTTGCTTTAAAGTATCCGTGAAGCAACAACATGAAAGTACGCTCGTCTGTGTTCGCCTCCTTCATTTTAATATTTGAAGTTCTCGGTGTTGTCCTGTTCCTGCGTGGATTTTTCCCCGTTCCTGTCAAGTCTTCGTTTTCATCCAAGAGCAGGTTGTCAGATGTTCCTGCGGAGCCTCTGGCAGGTGAGCTCTCAGCTGTCTGTCAGTCTTTGCTCTACAATCTGTCCAAAGTCTTCCAACATGTTTTCACACCACAGGAGGCTCCTCTAACTCCACCCGCCTGCCGCAGCCCCTGTTCAAACGGCTTGTTGTGATGTTAGTGGACGCTCTCCGGGAGGACTTCGTGTTTGGAGACAGTGGCCGCCTGTTCCTGCCCTACACCCGGCGGCTGGTGGAGAGGGGCTCATCCCACAGCTTCGTGGCCAAGGCGAGGGCTCCCACAGTCACCATGCCCAGGATCAAGGTAAGATGTGTCCAGAATCCATCAGGTCTGTCAGCTCATCTTATTACATGTTTGTGTTTTTTAAATTAACTCTTTGGGTTATAATCTAAGCCAGGGCTTCTTAACCTTTTTGACCTCGGGGCCCAATTTATAGAACATAAAGTGACACGAGGCTCAGTCAGACATTACCAATGTATGGATCAAAATGATAATTATTCAAAATCTTGGTTTAATTTTTATTGTATTTACATCATAACTAAACTATCATAACTAACATAACTAAATTAAATACACTTACAGTTTAAAAGTAAAACTCCTGTCAAATAATCACAAGACATGATTATGACAAATATTTTTATATTGTAACCTGCCCATAACAATTATTTGAACAAATACAAACATCAGTCAACAGACCACTCAGGCTTATCAACACAAATATACACTGCTCAAAAAAATAAAGGGAACCCTTAAACAACGCACGCTAAGTC